GAACCAATGCATAAGATATAATACTAACTTTTAATTTTCTTTTTTTTATCTAGGTATAAAGCTAGGTCTAAAGATTAAAACAACCAACAACTACAACAAGGAAAATAAGGTACATTTCCTTTACAAAAATAATACTTTATATAGTTTGTACTTGCAACAGCTTCACCAGATATCATCAAAGCAGAAAACCTTCTGTAAATTTATGCAAAATAAATGGTTGTTTATTACTATTAGTTACTTGAATCGATCCCATCCATTCATAATCTAATTATGCCTTCTTTGAATTATATATTTCCATATCTTCATTAGCTCATACTTTCTATCTGTTCTCAATTCTCTTTAGAACATATGATATTCAAAAGAGATTTTTTTCCTTAAGAGTAAAAGCATTTTAAAACGGGAATTGTAACAATGAAAATGACTCATTTAGTGAGATTATATGAGTAAATGTATGAACTAAAATATGTCATTACTATGAGAGTCTGTACTATTATGTATTATTATAGGATGGATGTGGATCATTTACATTTAGAATATATTCATACTCATATTTATGTTGATGTTACTTACTTAAGGCGCAGCTCATCCTTTTCACTTTACTTAATTATTTTATTCAAGTGGAATATTTTATTCCTAGCCCAAGATCATATGACAATAAAGCAGCTTATCAATTCATCTTACTTGATTATTTTATTAAAGTGAAACACGTTATTGTATGATACTACCCATCCCTTATGTTTGATTATTAAAACCAACATTGAGTATTATATTAAAACCTTACGTAAATTAATGTTAAATAAATGGCTGTTTATCAGTCATTGTTGACATCCTTCCCCATACAAACTACCATTTCCTATGGGTTTCCACAAACGAGGGTAGGATTTAGTTTCCGATATGCTTCCATGGTTGACTTTTTAATAACCAAAATTACACAACATTTAAGATTCAGCAGAAATTAATAAAGTATGGGATAATGGACTGCACGATATTTGACGCCGAACAACAATACGCCTCGTAATAATAATTAAACCAAAGAAATTTATTTTCATATATGGTTGTACTAACTTTTTATTTTCGATATTTTTTTAGAATGCAAGATTAAGATCAAACAACAATTATAGCAAGGAAAACAAGGTACATTTCCTTTTCAAAAGTAATGCTTTATATGATTCGTATATTAATTATAACATTAGTTTTATTAGTGTGCAATTACTATGTTAACTAATTGAATTTAAGTACATTATGAAATTTCACACATAATAAATGAATTCAAAACATATAAAATTTAAAATTTAAGTTTATTATATGTATGTACTAGATTAATATGAAAAATAAATTAATGTTCAATTCTTTTGCAGTTCAAATAATATTCTCACAAGTTTGCGTGAAAAACAATTGGAAAAACAAATGGAACAAATGAAGGTTAGTTGAACAAATTTAATTTTTCTAATGCATCCTCCAGATAATCAATAACAAATAATTCTAATATATTCATATAAATTTATCAACAACATCAAAGAAAATGAAGAGGAAATTTTACTACAATGCATTAACTACTAAGGAAAGAGAAGCTTATATTTGGAAGGATGTGTCGAAATAAGAGAATAAAGAGGACTATGGATAGTAGTCCAAATGCAGAAGATCAATCAATGAAAAGAAGTGCACGTTGGCTAGAACGAGCATCCAATTACCAAGTTGAATGCAACAGTGAGCTTTGATAAGTTTATAAATATAATAATTTAAGTTTCTATAGTATACAGAATTAACTAATAACATATTACAATCGTATAGGAACAAATATATCAAGGTCGTCTTGTTCAGAACTATACAAGCTTGGAAAGATAGCAAGTTGCAACCATTGTGGAACAATGAAATTTGAATATGAGAGTCCATCTTTTTGCTGTAATAATGGAGAAACAGTACTTGTGGAACCTTGTATCCCAGATGAATTATATAACTTGCTAACATCGGATTGTAATGAGGGTGTTGAGTTTAGGAGAAACATTAGAGCATACAATAGTATTTTCTCTTTCACCTCATTTGGGGTAGCAATTGATTAAAACTTGGCATCTTCAAGGGATGGAATATACACTTTTAGAGCGTAAGGTCAGATTTACCATAGTTTGCCTGGATTGATACCACAAGATGATAGACCTCGCTTCTTCCAGTTATATTTTTATGACACAGATAATGAATTGTAAAATAGGATGAATGTTTTACAAGAAGGGAAATTATCAGAAAATACAATGAAGACTATAATGAAAATCCTAGAAGACAATCCTTATGCGAAAATTCTACGGAGGCTTAAAGATGTACCAACGTTGAGAGAATTACAAATTTGTATATCTAAGAACACCAATCTTGACCAAAGGATTTATAACTCCCCAACAACAGAGCAAGTGGCAGCAATTTGGATAGAAGGATACAATCCAAATGAACCGTTAAATAGAGATATTATAATACAAGAGCACTCTGGACAAAAGCATCAAGTCAAACATTATTATAGTTGTTATGATCCTCTACAATATCCAATTTTATTTCCAAATGGTGAGAGTGGGTGGCAACAGTTTATCTACAGAGGTCGGAACGAAAGAATACAATTAAATATGATCGAAGAAAGTCAGACATTGGATTTAACTAGACAGCTTAATAAGGAGGAATCACAAGGTAAAACCAACGCCAAATTTTAATCTCATAAGTAAAATATATCATATCTTATCAATTTCTAAAAATTTTTAAGCTTATAACAGATATCGAAAGACAAGGAGGGCAATATGTTTCTTGTAGGGAGTATTATTGCTACAAGCTTCAAATTCGGAATCCAATAAAATCAATTCTGCTACTTGCTGGACGACTATTTCAACAGTTTGCTGTGGACATGTATGTGAAGTTAGAGACAACGCGACTTGATTTCTTTAGAAAACAACAATCGAATATAAGAGCAGAATTGTATCAAGGAATTGTTGATAGTGTTACTGCTAGGGAAACACGTGGAGATCAAGTTGGACATAGAGTTGTTTTACCACCATCTTTCATTGGAGGACCAAGAGATATGAGGCGTCGTTATATGGACGCTATGGCTCTTGTTCAAAGATACGGTAAACCAGATCTCTTCATTACAATAACATGTAATCCAGATTGGGATGAAATAAGGAATGAGCTTCTAAATGGACAAACAGCACAGGATAGACCAGATCTTTCTTCTAGAGTTTTTAGAGGGAAAATAGAGGATCTTAAAGACCAGCTATTTAAGAAAGAAGTATTTGGTAAATTAGTTGCACGTGTCTATGTCATTGAATTTCAGAAAAGGGGACTTCCACATGCTCATATATTATTAATTTTAAAATATGAATATAAGCTAATGAGCCCAGATCATTTTGATAAATTTATATTGGCAGAATTACCAGATCAATCACTATTTCCAATGTTGCATGCGAATGTGGTAAAACATATGGTTCATGGCCCTTGTGGATCGTTGAGGAAAACAAGTCCATGCATGGTTGACGGAAAATGTAAATATCACTACCCACGTCCTTTTTGTTCAAAGACAAGTTTAGGGGGTGATGGTTATCCAATATATATGCGAAGGAATGATGGAAAGAAAATTTTTGTACGTAACACAATTTTAGACAATCAATGGATTGTTCCATACAATCCTTACCTATTAAGTAGGTATAATTGTCATGTCAATGTTGAAGTATGCTCTGGACTTAAGGTTGTAAAATATCTTTATAAATATATATATACAAAGGGCATGACAAAGCAGCTGTGTGCATTGCGTCAAATGAGGCAACATATTCAGTAGATGAGATCAAACAATACCAAGATGTGAGATGGGTATCAGCATAAGAAGCAATTTGGCGAATTTTTGAATTTAAGATGAATGATATACAACCCCCTGTTATTAACCTCCAATTACATCTTCCAAAGAAGCAAAATGTTTATTATTGGAATAATGAAGATCTTCGAAATATTATGACGTGAGAGCACACAGCTAAGACAATGCTTACAGAATACTTTAGAAAACGTGCTTCAGATCAAAAAGCAAGGATGTTGCTGTACAAAGAATTTCCTGAACATTATGTGTGGGTAGTAGTAAAGAAATGTTAGAATGAGAGGAAAAAAAGGCCGTGATTGGACGAATAAATTCAGCAAATCCTATAGAGGGGGAGAGATATTATTTAAGGTTTTTATTGAATCATGTTAAAGGTCCTACTTCTTGGGATGACCTACTAATTGTTGATGGATTACTTATGAAGACTTTTAAAGAGTCTGCACAGAAAAGAGGACTCTTAGAATCCGACGATAGTATAGTCGAATGCTTGGATGAAGCAGTAAATTTCAAGATGCCATACGCATTAAGAAGATTATTTGCAACTATTCTGGTTTATTGTCAACCAACAAATGTCAGATTATTATGGGAGAGATATAGACCAGCAATGTCTGAAGATTTCGTTCAAAGATCTATAGCGACAGATGTAGAACAAACTGCATGGGCATTAGAGGGAGTTAATTATTTCCTAGAGAGCATGGGGAAGACAATACAAGATTTTGATTTACCTAAATTTAAAGAGGATGAAATAGATAATCCATCATGCAATCTACGAATCATACAGGATGAGATAGATGTTAAAGTCTGTCAGGAAGATATAGATGGTAAGTACAAATTAAACGAAGATCAAAGAAAAGCTTTTGAAATAATAATGGACAGAGTTAATATGAATAAGGGAGGAGTTTTTTTCATAGATGGTCCTGGAGGGACGGGAAAAACATTCTTGTACAAAACTATACTTGCCAATGTCAGATCAAAAGGAATGATTGCAATAGCAACTACAACTTCAGGATTAGCAGCATCTTGACTACCTGGTGGGCGCACATCACATTCACGTTTTAAGATACCTATTAATGCCACTGAGACAACAGTTTGCAATATATCTAAACAGGAAGGTACTGTACATTTGATTAGAAAAGCAGCACTAATTATTTGGGATGAAGCACCTATGGCAAAACGAGTAGCAATGGCAAAAAGAGTAACAATTGAAAGTGTAGATCGTACAATGCAAGACCTATTGAGTACAAAAGAATTGTTTGGTGGTAAAGTAGTAGTTTTTGGAGGAGATTTTCGTCAAGTGTTGCCAGTTATTCCAAGAGGAACAAGGAGCCAAACAGTTAATGCCAGCTTAGTAAAGTCTTATTTGTGGGAGAAGATGGAAAAGATAACATTAAAAATAAACATGCGAGCAAAAAATGATGAAGAATTCAGTAAATTCTTGCTGCGTGTTGGAAATGGAACAGAAAAAACAACTAAAGATGAACTTATTAGACTTCCTGAAAGTATTGTGATTGAAGATAGCAAAAATGGACAATCGGAAGTTGAATTGTTAAACAAAGTATTTCCATCAATTGAACAAAATGCAAATTCAGCTGAATATATGACAGAACGAGCTATTCTTGCGACAAAAAATGAATATGTAGATAAGCTCAATGACAAGCTTTTTGATAAATTTCCTGGTGATGAGATTATGTTCCATAGTTTTGACAAGGCTATTGATGATCCAAATAACTACTACCAAGAAGAATTTTTAAACAAGTTGTTTCCATAGTTTTGACAAGGCTATTGATGATCCAAATAACTACTACCAAGAAGAATTTTTAAACAAGTTGATGCCTAATGGTCTTCCACCGCACAAGCTATAACTACTACCAAGAAGAATTTTTAAACAAGTTGATGCCTAATGGTCTTCCACCGCACAAGCTAAAGCTAAAGCAGAATTGCCTGATAATGTTGCTTAGAAATCTTGACCCATCAAATGGACTTTGCAATGGAACTAGAATGGTTTGCAAAGAATTTGATAAAAATGTTATTAAAGCAGAAATAACAAAAAGTCATCATGCGGGTCAAGAAGTCATGATTCCAAGGATACCATTATTACCAGCTGAAAATGAAAATTACCCTTTCAAATTTCAATGAAAACAATTTCCTATAAGGTTATGCTTCGCAATGACAATAAACAAAGCACAGGGACAAACAATTCACACAGTGGGTATTTATTTACCATAACATGTTTTTTCACATGGACAATTATACGTCGCTTTATCTCGTGGTGTATCAACAAACAATACAAGAGTGCCATGTTTTTTCACATGGACAATTATACGTCGCTTTATCTCGTGGTGTATCAACAAACAATACAAGAGTGCTGGTTAAAGGCGAAAGAAAACAAAAGAAAGGATATACATACACCAAAAATATCGTCTACAAAGAAGTTCTATCCAGAGAAAGGTTAGAAAAAACATTTAAATGACTAACTTATTTATTTTAAATAAATGTCAATACCAAAAATATCAAAATTAAATTTAATTATTTTATAGCAATAAATATTGCAATAAGAAGATGGTGAAAAAAATAAATATCATTATTATAATTTGTAAATTTTACTTTATTTGATATTTCTAATATTTACTATGGTTACAGGGAAGATGACTGCTGAAAGACAACATAAAGGTGAATACAGCTTCATTAAGGATTTGAAGTTATATCAAGAATCTTTCTCAATCAAAGTGCTTATACTAAAAGTTTCCTTGGAGCAATTCTCATCGTCAAAAGGTTCAGGTCATGTTCAAAAGATTATTGTGATTGACGAAGAGGTAAGTACAACTCTTCAAATGAAATATTTATTATTACATTTGAATTTCATTAAATTTTTACTTAACTGGTAATTTATTTTAAAGTTTAAGTAACAACAAATAAATACAGGGAACAAAGATTCAAGCCACACTATTCAATTCTACAATAGCAACATTTGAGGAATACATCCATCTCAGCAACACCATTATCATCAAGAATGGTATAGTCAGGCCTATAAATAGGAAATATGCATCGATGAATCCAAATTTTGAGCTTGCTTTTGGACAAAACACAAAAATTACAGTATCCGAAAATGAAATCAATATCGTTACCCTACCATTTTCATTCAAGCGATTCGAAGAGGTGACAAAGACAAATAATAAAAATATATTTTTCGGTATGCTAAATTTTTAATCTTAATAACATAGCATTTGTAATAGAAAATTAAAAATTTAAGCACAAAAATTTTAATCTTTATACAGATGTGTTAGGATTCATCACTTCAGTGAGACCGTTGTACACAACAAATACATCAGTTAGAAGGGAGATCACAATAATGAATGAAGCGTAAGTGTTTTTAAATAAGAAATAAATTTTTCATTAACAAATATTAAAATACTAACATATCCATTTAACAATTTTTTTAATTGACACAGGATGGATCCATTGGTATTAACATTATGGGGAGAGCATGCAGAGAAAGAAGGTCAAGTATTCGAAGACAAGAAAAAACAAAAACCAACTATAGCAATAATTAATGTTACTACAAATAGATATATGGGCATATAATGAATACAGGAGTTCCGCAACTATCATCAAAGCCTGCAACAATATTTTTGATAGACCCAAACATTACTGAAGCACACACTCTTAAAGAATGGTAATGCTTATGCAAATAAAATCCTTCCTAATATAATTTTGAAAAAAAAATAATACATGCCTTAAATATAGGATGGCAGGGAAGGGGAAAAATTATGAGAAACTGATGCAGCAGTCCCCATCGAAGCTAATGAGAAGGTCTAAGAAGGTTATGCTTGGTGATATCATCACATCATCAACAGCTATAAAACATGTATTTTATTATATTGGTTAAGATATTAACAAGATAAATAATAATAAATTTTGAATTTATAACTTGATTGCTATTTTTTTAGAATATTTATTCCTACTTTAAAGCGGAGATATCAGCAATAATCAATTAAGAATCACCTTGTTACACCGCATGCAAGAGTTGTCAAAGAAAGGTTTTTGTTAAAGACAACATAGCTAAATGCAACAATTGCAATACTGAAGATGCAGAATGGGAAATAAAGTAAGTTTTAAATTTTATTTATAAAAAAAAAATAACATTAAATTTTCACATCAAGGTACCTTATGCGATTGGAAGTTAAAGATCATATCGACAAGGCATATGTTACAATTTTCGATGAAGCTCGGTTTCTAACTGGTTGTTCAGCTGAAGAATATGTAGATTCATTTGATGAAGAAGGAAAGGTAATATAACATTATTTACTTCAAATATATAAAAGTTTTTTTCCATAAAATTAGTAAATTAGTAAAATAGAAAAATGACCATAAATATAATGCAGGAGCACTTATTACCTATGTACCAGAAAATGATGAGCTGTTGCGACAAAGAATATCTTTTCTTGGTAAAAATGAACAGGAAAGATGAAGAGAAAAGAATTGAAGGAAGAATAACCGCTCAAGAAATATGCAGCCCAAACAATTTCGAACCAATAGAATGTGATGAAGATGAAGATTCAAAGGACATTTCACTGAAGCGAAAGAGTATGACAAGCCTGAAAAAAGATATGAACAAAAGAAAGTTCATGAATAATAAAAATATTAAAATAGAAAGTGAGAAGTGATACAACATTTATAGCATTATGATGAATACACTTAATTATGTTTATTTAAACTATTATGTCGAGGATATTGACAATGAAAATTTTTCTGGTAATTTGCTCTTTTCTTCAATTGGGAAGCCATCAACCTGCAACTTGGCATTAGCTTTATTGATCACTTTTTTATTTGCAATGAGTTTATGTGAGGTTCACTGATTTTTGCAATCATCTATTACTTGCATGCTTTTGTCAAGTTGTGGTATCATTTAACTTTGGCGTTAAGTCTGTAGTGTTAATGTTTTCAGTTTTTAATAGAAAATTAATGTTCTTCTTTCATTTTTATTTGGATTTGTTATTTTATTCAGGCGTTTGTTAATTTTGAGTTTTAACAAAGTATGTTTTAAATAGTTATGTGGAATTCATAATTTGGTGAGTAAAAATTACTTGGTGTACAAATATTTAAACTCATGTAGTTTCTTAATATGCATCACGTGCAATGCACGTATGGTATACTAGTCTACTAAATAAATAATTGGTCGCTTCAATTTCATTTGAAAACGGGCATTATAATCCATGAGTTAAGCCTCTTTTGTCATATAAATTAATGGGTCGGTTCATATTTTGGTAAGTAGTTAATGGGTGTTTTATTGCCTGGTTAAAATTCCATGAATTGTTTTTACCAAATACAGAGCAAATCCTTCTTAGCAGAAATAAAATTCATTATGCAGATCCTTTGCCTTATTACGAAGAAAGAGCCTGCAAGTGTGTTAAATGTACCATGCACAAATGCTATTAGGGGGTGTTTGTTTCACCAAAAATTTTGGCATTTGGCATGGATTACACGTTTTGGGATCAAAAAATGAGTTTTTTTTTTTGTGTTTTGGGATTCCATATATGGTGTTTGTTTTAAAAAAAATTAGAATATTGAATTCAAAAGTATAAAAAGTGCCTAATTTTCAGAATTTGCCAAATCCTCTCAATCGGAGAGGATTTTGACAAATTCCATAAATGAGTGTGCTTACCTCTCAATTGGAGATGATTTAACAAATCTCAAATTTATCTTTTTGTGAAGGTAACCTTACCAAGATAGCATATTTATCATATTACAAAATTTTGACATTTGGTAATGCTACAATTTCAGCTTAAAACAAATTTTTTTTTACAAATTATAGTATTTCAAATCCCAAAATATTAGTGAAACAAACCATATTTTAGAAATCCCAACTCATAACAAAACACCTATGGATTTTAAATCTCATGGTGAAATCCATATCCTAAAATTATAGGATTTGAAACAAATACCCACTTAGAGAAGAAACATTGGTTTATATATCACTTTTCCTTCTACGATAGAACTACAACAGACAGATGACAGTAATTCCATGTTGGATTTTTTGGTCAAAACCGCTTTCCAAAATGAGTTTTCAAACTATATATATATTAACTACAAGTATTTTCATAAATGCTTAGTAGGCTAGTAGAAAGTTTATGTTTTAGTATTTCAAAAGGGCCCTTGTTTAAGGCTTGCCAACGACAAGCCGATAAGTGTTTTATTTGAATTAATCTCACATAAGTTCTAGTGGGCCGGGGGCCGGGGGCCCATGGGTCGGAGATCGGGGCTAATCGGGCTGAGGTGCTAAGTGACGCTTTGTTAGGCGCACTTCGTACGGAGGCATCGGGGCGAGGTGGCGCTGTTTGGTGCCACGTTGGCTGCCACTATGGTTGCCACGAAGGTGTCCTCACAGGCTGCTTCGCGACATGCAGACAAGCTACGCATTCGCATAAGGGTGTGACCCTAGCGATCTCGAAATCAGAGAGGTTCGTCAATTGGTTGACAAGGTTCCACTTGTTCGATGAGGTTCGTCTGATTCACAAGATCAGACGAGGTTCGCTCGTCATACAAGGTTCGCCTGTTTGACACTGTTCGCTCGTTCGACGAGGCTCGTCTATCATACGAGGTTCGCCTGATTGACAATGTTCGCTCGTTTAACGAGGTTCGTCTGTCATACGAGGCTCGCCTGTTTGACGAGGTTCGTTTGTCAAATAAGGTTCGTCTAATTTGCTGAGATGTGACCCTCGCGTTTCGTAGCAACACGTCTGTTGGTTGCCTCGTATTCAGGAGTTACTG